CCCCCCCAACGAGCCACAAAATCATTAATATTTTCACGTATTCTATTTAAACTAGAAGAGTCGATGTCGAAGTTGATGTTTTTCAAAATTATATTAGGAATTGTATATTGAAGTTTGTTGATTTTTAATTTAAATATTAATTGCTAAAAATCAATATTGTTTATTTAGAAAAAATAAAAGAAGAAAATTTTGATCGACGTTAAAAAAATTATATTCCAAATTCGATATTCAAAATTTACCGAGTTTGAATTTAAATATCAACTGCAAATATATATATATATATATATATATATATGTGTGTGTGTGTGTGTGTGTGTGTGTGAGATTAAGATTGATAATTTCATGGGGGGATGGAATATGAAAAGTAGAGCTTACCTCCTTAGCCAGCATAACGGGGGTAGGCTCCTTCGGGGCGTTGCAGATGATCCCCAGCTGGTAGAGGACGAGGAGGAAGAGGAGCGCGATGATGCAGAGCATGGGTGCCCTTCGGGAGGGTCCACGCGAGAACAGAAACGACATCCCTGAGCTCTTCGTCTGGTAGTCATGCATATCACCGCGGGTGAGCTCGAAAGCCAGATGTTTATAATGCAGCCAGGACTACTTTCACCTCGCGTGGCTCATCCTTCGCCTCCTACAAGCATATTTACACGCCATTGTTGATTTTCCAGATGATGAAATGGACTAGAGATAATAGCCCGGAGTGCCGTCGAGCAAATCTGCGATTTTTATTTTTAAGTCTACCGCAATTATTCGAGTACACGCCTTGGCATTGGCAAGTCTGTTGCTTTTACTTTGACTTTGTAGCTTAAAGAACCTAGGAAAGGTTAGAGCGATTTGCGCATTAATCCATTCGAGACTTTCTTCTGGTTCGAATTTTTGTGCATCTTGATGAAGACTAACGATAATTGTTATTGCCACGATTACTGTACATTAATTTAATTATCGGTTGTGCAAAATCAATCATCTCGATTGTCACGCATACTTCGGTATTTTATTAACCATTTGCAATAAATTATTCTATACCCGTATCAAGTTTCTACTATTTTTTACATTTATTTAGCCCATTCGTTGGACATTCGGGGGCGATAATTACAATGTTGTAATAAAATATGTTTAAATTATTGGATAAATTAAAATATTCCAAATATATTTAACGAGTTTAACGATGCAGGATAAGTAATCGGGCGGTAATTTTAACCTAATTTTTATAAATATTTAAATATTTGAATAAATAACCATTGTAATGAATAGCAAAAAATTATCCACAACAATTAGTGATATTATTTCATAAATTTTACTCGTAACGCGAAAGGAATGTCATAATGAATGATTCGTTAATGCATTTCAAAGGCGCGTAATAAATTGATCTTCCATATAGTTAATTAGAATATTAAATCGATTTCCATCGAGCCAAGTATTATAATAATATGTATAACTCGATGATAATAGGGAAATAATCGAAAATTTTGCTGAAAACTTTTTCAATACTTCGCATTTTATAAGCTGCGCGAGCAAACATTACTTATACATTCAAAGCTCATTCTTTTCCTCGACATTGTGCCTATATAATTCCAAAATAATCCGATATAATAATTTTAATGATATGCAAATGCTTAGTGTGCTCACGACGAATGAAAGCGTAGACAATAATAGCGTGCAACGGGACTTTATGAGGTGAAACGTCGTAAAGGGAAGAGAAAGACATCGAGACTTAAGCCACAACAATAAGACGAAAAGTTAAAAATTCACGTACTCGTGTTTCTATGTTTATGGTATTTATGGCATTAAATCTTCATAATAGTTGTGATATTTGAGAAAAATTAATTCAATTGTATTTCCATCTATTTATTTATGTATTACTCGGATATTGTCAGTGAGACTTGGTCTGTTAAAGTATGGAATATTTCATTAAAATAATAATTCCTAATTGATTTGAAAATATAATCAATTGCAGTGAAAGTTAAACGTTTATCGTACTAACTACATTTAATATATATCATTCTTACTATAAAAATCACTGCCAAAATTGTATGCATTAAAATTGAAGTGATTATTTACCTTTTAGAATGTAAATTTTAGAAAGAAATTAACTTCATATTCATTTTAAATGTAAATAAAATTTCATTTAACATAATCATATTTTTAATTTTTTTTTTTTTAATTTTAATTATTTACTCATAGGCCGCTTAATATGCAATGAAATTTAGGTTCTTTCGTACGTTTAAATTTAACTTTGAATTGTTGAAAAATTTTATTTCACCGTGGACGCTAAAATTCAATTCGACCAGAGAGAAATTTTTCTGATTTTTTTTTTCTTCGTCCCATTCATTTACATAATGAGTATATGCTTAATTCTCAAAATTTTCAGGAAAAACATTACATCTATAGATTTCTTATAAATAACGTTTAATGTCGATGGGCCAAACACGCAATTGAATTAATAAAAATGATTTTGAAATATCGTTAAGAAACGTTAAATATACTAATAAATTTAATTACTTTTAAGCCTTATAATTTATATGTTTTAAGCCCTTCTAAACAATCAATAGCCTCTTGAAATAGTTATAATAATCCAGAGAATTTTCAAATTATCTAAAACCAAGGTCATAAAAATTAAATTCCTCATGAAAAAATATATCTCGGTGAGAAAAAGAAAATATTTTCTTTTCAAACCTAATGAAACTGATTAATCCCAACGAAACCTCTCATTTACGCGACATTTTCCTTTATTTCGCTAAAGCATAAAAACTTAACGCACACTAACCGTATTCAAAACTTTGCAATTGAACTACACATGAGAACAATTTTGATGCTTTAAAGGTTTTCCGTAATTTTGCGAAACGGACAATAAAATCCAGAGTCCGTATGCGCATGCAAAAGTTCGGCTTACATGGGAAATGTTTTACAAATCGTTGTTAATTCTCTAAAGAATGCGATAGTTCAAATGGGCAGTTCCTCCAACTGGATGTATAACTTTTGAACTTATAATCAGATTAGTAATGTTGTATTGTAATTGCAGGATCGAAGCTGATTCAACTTTTAATTTCATCGGGGAATTAGAATGTGCTGCTGTCTCTTTAATGTCGCAGAGCTCGTGGAATTGTCGAACCTTTAAAATGTCTCGAAATACATTGACATAACAATATTGACAAATCCCCTTTCCCTATTCATTATTTACGTACGCTCGGAGCTCTGTTGTCCATCTTTTTTTCATTTCTCTACTATACTCAAACATACATAATCAACGTAATGAAAGAAAAGCTACTTAACATGGTAAACAGCGGGGCTCTCTGAATTTGAATTAAATAATTATATCCGCTATTATCGAGCGTTAATGGCGCGCCTATCTTGTTGACCATAAGCCCGGTGACGGCCCTTGTTATAGTCGCTGTCCTTTACCCGATTGCAAGTTTCGCAGACATGAAACGAGCCTGCAAAACGTTAGTTTAATGCCGAATAGATAGTCAGCAGTGCGGCAGTGATGCGTGAATTAAATGGGCCGCTTTTGCTGGACAGAATAATATTGTGTGAATGGATGTTGACGGAAGTCGATGGTAGGTTTAAATATTTCTTTCACGATTTGCTTTCGTATGGAAAAAATACGGAGGCCAATTGTCGTAACGTGTAATATACCTTTAGCTCCTTCAATAATGCACTGTCATATGCACTGTTGTATGATAATTTTATGGTTATAATACGATCGGAAGCTTTGCCGATCATTATTTAACGGCGATATTCGTATTTAAAGCCAACGATGTAAATGTTGCTGTAGAAATACACTTGTCTAAATACAACAATTGAATAATATAAAAAGAACGCCATTATTTACTGTCGTAAGAATCTCCTAATTGTTACAGCATCCTTGGATAAAGAAAGCCTTAATAACAGTTATTGGAAGAGAAGAAGGGAGATTAAATAAATCTCGCAGAAGCTAATAAAATTTACCTAAATTACTTCCTACATTATTTACTATGGAGTCGAATTTTAAATTAAGATGAGAAAAGTAAGTAAGCTGAAAATTCCAATGATTCAACGTTCATGGTTTACAAAAATATAAATTTGTGGCAATTGCAAAGGACTTAAATGGTTTTATAAAAAAAAAAAAAAAAAAAAAAAAAAAAAAAAAAAAATACAAGGAAAGCCCATAACGATGTCATGGAATACAATATTTAATATATATTAATGTGATATTAAATTTTTGTTTTTTAGTATTTAAAAATTTTAAATACTATCATATAATTAAAATAAATATCATAATAAATCTATGACAAACAATTAACAATAATAAAAAACATTATTATTATTATTATTATTATTATTATTATTATTTGCATCTTTATAATAATTTAATTAGTAGTAATAATTTAAAGTTGATAAAAGGTTTTTTACAATTACGAAAAATACGATTCCTGCTTTTTTTCTTTTTCGTTCATTAGAAAATGAATAGGTAAATGTTGATATTATTAATTTCACCAGTGAACACAAGCACACGCGCATGCAATTTTATATAAAATTGAGCAACAATACGTTATCAAATCATAATCAATAGTGGAGTGTAAATTTATTTTTGAATTAAAATATATCTAGTGTTTTTCTATCATCGATTTAGTTTGTACACATAGCATACAATGAAATATTAAATATGAAAATAAAACTCGTAATTAAAATATGAAAACTATTGCTTTGTATAGCTATATAAATAATAATCAAACAGAATATAATTTTACTTATATTCGGAGAATATCGAGAATTAGGAATTAAGATTTTTTTCATTATATTTCTTATTGCATTATATATGCTTATAAAATTGCTAAATTATATCAGTTCACATGAAAACGACAGTCAAAAGTCCAAATAGCTTATACAAAAGAACAGTCGAGTCAAAAATTTGGAAAGATATAAATGCGCATAGTAGCTGATGGTAAAATAGTTTTAAAAAGCGAAAGAGAGAGAGGGGGGGAGGAGGGGGGGATTAAACCCGGTTGCGCAGAAGGGATACTGATGGAGATATTCTATAGGTAGAGGAGAGAAAATTGGTTATTACGGCAGTACTTTTGCGCAATCCACAATACTAGATGGATCTTATGAGTTCGTACAAAAAAGGTATTATGACTGCGTTACATATTAGCTTTATCGATTAATATTGATTCGGGTATCAAAGAATCTGTTCATAAAATCAATTTACTTTTCTATTATACTTACACCGAGTTTTATCCACTCGACTTTACTTTTGTTCGTTATTCATTCGCAAACAATGGCTATGTTACTATTCCGTAAATTTACATATATTTTTCGCTGATTATACAAGTTATAGGGTAGGCAGGCATGTAATATGAAATAATTGCGTCCGACGGTACTTTAACTAATAAATATTCGTTCTCAAAATTTATCCTAAATATTTTCAGAAACTCGTATTATTTATGCGATTTCTCGTATAAAGAAATCAACACCCATAGAATAATATTCATTGAGAGAATCATAACAATCGTCAACAATGATAAAATTAAGTTTTGATCGAATGGATTAATTTATAAAAATTATACTAAATTTACGAAAAATACTAAAAACTAAAATTATTAAAAAGTTAAGAATTAAATTTAGAGTATAAAATTAATGGATTAACGATA